ATATATTTATTCAACCCAAACCAGTTGGAGTATCCATATACCCAACACAAACCTTGCCTGTCATTTAATGCCTACATCCTATTTGATGCAGAGAACACACTGTTGCGTCCAAAATCTTTCTCCATCCAGATACAATGTGCTTTTATTTGCATGTAAGCAACAATTGTTTACTGGCTTCTCAGCCAAGTTTTGCCCTTTTGCTGGACAGCCATGAGCAAAAGGAGAACCAGAGCTTGGCCCCCTACACTGCAAAGACAAGGCGGAGGAGAAAGGTAAACACAGCAGAAATGGCAGCCCGATGTTGGAGTATGTTAAGATAAAGCCTCCTGGGTCGCATTAGTATTCATTCTTCCTGGTAGGTCAGCGTGCCAGCCATAATGTCTCTGAGATATAGCCGGAGAATAGAAGAAATTTAGTTTACCAGGCCACAGATTCCGGACTGATTCTTTTCCTTATCACCACTCAGGCTCAATTCAGCTTCCTTTAAATGTTTTCTCACAGAGGCTCTTTAAGAAGTTCCTATGTGCAAGGGGCACCTCATAGGTTCGATAGCAAATATAAGAAAATATCATCTACCAGCTGTTCCTCTTGAACTCTCCCTTAATTAAGCTGCCTAGAGCCTCAGCACTGATGCATAACCTAACCTCGATCGTTTATCTACAGCGCACAAGAGAGGGCTCTCCCACCACTGACGGACATTTGGTCTCTTACCTGTGTTCGACGTAAAGGAGAGGCCGATTGTCGGTGACCAGCCTGCTCTGGCTCTGGCATGGGGGCCCATTGGAACTCTCAATGCTCAGCAAAATGCTTTCAATATTTTCCACCTGGTCATCATCTCCAAGGAACTGTTGAAAAGCAACAAAATGAGCAAAAGGGCTTCTCCCTTCTCAGATAAAATCCATGCAAAGGGAAGTCTTAATGCTCTCTCACAGGCAGCCTCATAATGGTCCTTTAATACAATCAACACCTTCTGGAACCGTGGAGGCCCCATCCCTGAACATAGGACAGCCATTTATTTCTCCAGGATTGTCTGAGAATCTGCCCCAGATGTGGGCTGAAGGCCTCCAGGGCCCCTTTCATCCCTTGGATTTTGGTCTTGCACAGCTTTTAGCCATCTTTGTTCCTTGAAGTGCAAGCTCTTTCTAGCGACTAGTCAAGATTCTGCAGAGCTGTAGTTACAATTTTGTAAGGGGAGCATCATATTTTAATGTTTTAATCCCACACGAAGTCTCAAATTCCTGGCAGCAAAGGAAATAACCATGACTTTTTTCACATGCATCAACTGGTTTAATTCATTCAGCACGTCCACCATACAAGTGCTTAATCCCCAAATCTAACTCAATTTACCAGAGCCTCGCCTGAAGGATTCTTCTTATTCTTTCTTTTCTTCTTTTTCTTTCGTGATTTGTTGTTTGCAGTAGACTTTTAAAAATAAAAATAAAAGGTTGAAAGATGAATATAAATGAAGCATGGCATGAAACGTATGAATCTCAAACAAGTTATCTAACCCAAGAAAATGTCTAAGTCTCTTTTAGGAGCTATACTCACAAAAGATGTGCCAGCAGATAAAAATACAAATAGTAGCCAAACAATATTATAATCCATCAGGGTCAACATAGCAGAAATAGAGCCCTTCACACACCCAGGACCCCAGATCCAGGGGCACAGCAAGACCCTTTGAAAGGCCAGCCAGGTTGGGGCTATTGTAAACTCAGGAGGCAGTATGGAAGAAAAGGCAGGCCTCCTGCTCCCCACCATTCCTTAGCCGGCGGAAGTTTACCCATCCTGCCAGACTGGACCAGATGGGTATAAACAACTGGGAATAGACAATCCTTCAGATAACCAAACCACAAAGGACTTTAATGGTGACAAACAGCATCTTGAATTGCACCTGGTTACCAATCTGCCCCCCAAAGCAGGGGTGTTACATTTGCCAAATTACTGATTGCAGTTTGTTACTTTTATTGTCATGAAGCTGACCTGTTTGTAGGCTTGTTTTCCATAGTTAGTTTTCATAACCTGCTTTGTTTTTTGTTGAGGATATAAAATTAGTTTTAAACAAAAATGGGCGCCATTGTTTTCTACATTATACTTGCCATTTGGTCTAGCTGTTCCACCTCTCCCCCCTCCCCCCTCTTGTCACTCTCCGGCCATTCAGGTTCAGCCTCTTCAGTTGTAGGGTTGCCTCCTTCCTGCAATCGGGAGTCATCAGTCTCCTCTTTAGATACCAGGTCCTCATCCAGTCCTTCGGTGTTTATCTGCACAGGTTAAAAGTTCCCCAGTCCACAAGCAAGTCTATGGCATAACCATCATTTGGTTTTGCTTTCTCTCTCTTAACGTTACAAAGAAGAACCCCTTAAGAAGGGAGGCCAGTAGCAGGATCAGAGAGCACACAAGAGCGCCGCTTCTTTTCCACCAGCAGGTGGGGAGACACCCGCAATGGGCTGAAGCTGCTACCCAACCCCTTGAAAGGCACCGGGAGGCTTCAAACATACAGAGCCCCCCGGCTTGGGGACAGGCGCGATTCCGGGGCCAAGCCAGCCTCTCCGGGGGCGGCTCTCGCCCTTCGGATCGTATAAGCCCTGCTGGGAAGACCGAGGGGACGCCGCCCGGCTGCTGAGGGTCTCCGGCCGGGGCAGTTCCTCACCAGCTCAAAGGGGTTCGCCACCCGCTCCAAGGGCTCCCTCCGCGGGCCCCGCCGCCGCCCCCCGCCGCCGCACAGGGGCGGCAGCTGGTCCCCCGCGACCTCCTCGTCCTCGTCCTCGCCGCTGCCCCGCGCCTCCGGCTCCTCGCCCAGCAGTCCCTGGCCGCGCCACTCGCCCCGCAGCCGCCGCAGAGCCCGGTGAGACATCGCCCCCGCAGCAGCCGCTCCGGGAACACCGTCGGTCCGGAAGCTGTTGGGACAACCCGAAGGAGAGCAGGGGCCCGTCTAGGCACCAGCCCGTCGCACTTCCGCTGCGCTGCTCACGCATGCGCGGCTCGTGGTGCCCGGCCGGCTGTGGCTCGTGGAGCGAGGGGGTCGCCGCCGGAGCCGCACTTGGCCGTCCGGAGCGGCCGAGCGGGATGGCTGCGGGCAGGCGCTTCCTTCCCTTTGACCGTAAGCCTGAAGGCAGCTCTTCCCCCCTTGAAGAGAGGGTCCCGCCCCGGCTGCTCTCAGTGACTCCGTCGGTTAACAGGCGAGGAAGGTGCCCCCAACAACAGCCCTGTGAGGTGGGTCTGGCTGCAAGAGGGGGACCCACCAGAGTCGCCCAGCCGGCTTTCGTGCCTAAGGCGGGGCCAGCACTTGGATCCCACCCACCAGGCCTTAGGCGGAGGTGGGGTCGTGCAGTGGGCCCGGCCAGCCAGGGAGACATCCCGCCCCCCGGTGAAACATCCTCCTGGGGATCAGCTCGGTCCTGACTCGGCTGGCTTTTGCCGGTGGGCTTGAGGACCCCAGGCGCGCGGTAGGAGGACCCGTTAAGTGGCTGTTCCATTTTGGTGGGTGTGGTTATCTCAGCCGTGACTTTTAGGACTCTCAGGATGGTTTTATATTATTTGTTTTTAAATTGCATTTTTAGGTGTTATATGTAGCTCTTGGTAAGCCTCTTATGGAACTGGAATAAATAAGGCTGAGTTAGATAATATTCTACATAATCTTATATTCAAGAGCCGAGTTGGCAGATTTCAGGCTGCTGTGTAACTCTTCACTAAGAACTTAATAAACCAGAACTTCAATACTCCCAAACACCTCCAACCCTTCTTGATAAGAGTAGAATTTGGGAAATAATTTTGTTGCAGTCCTATTAAACAATCCTTGAGGATCTATTCAAATTGAGAAACTTCTGCCCATTGTTCTTCTGGAAAGAGAATAAGAAGAGCTGTCACAGATCAAAGGCTCTGTGTGATTCCTGATCTCTGGAATGCCAAACTGGGGAGTCCTGGAATAAGCAAGCGCACCTTCCAGAGCGCCTTTAACCATCTCTTTGGATTAAGCGCCTACATCGTATCTGTGCTGGGAAAGTAAGATAAGTGGGCAGAGGGCAAAAACTGGGGCTCTTCCCTAAACAGATACCGACCAGCTCTTCCATTTGGAGTTTTAGGAAGCATTTTCATCAGCCTCAAATTCCCCAGAGAAATTGTTACTGCCTCAGGAGCAGCAGGATTTACAGAAGAACGTGCTTTACAGAAGAAGGTCTGCTTCACTTTAAATTTTATTTACACTTCTTTAAAGTACACGCTTCATATAAAACATTGGCAGAGGAGGCCGAGGGCACGCAGGACTGGGGAGGGGAGGGGAAGCCCGCTTTGACACAGCAAGTAATTACTGCAAAGAAGAGTGAGTGGATCAATGCACCCATGAATGTCAAGCAAGCAGATTGGCCCAGAGAACCAGAGGAGAGGGGACCCCTAGAACACCAGCAAAGTCCTGACCTTCCTCTTCTGGTCTTGAAACCTCCCTCTCGGTCCAGAAACGTTTCCCAAAACCTCCCTTCCACATTTGAACTTTGCTTTCTAACCACGTTCTTAATTCTGACCAACTTCTGGATTATCGTCTCTCTATGTGCACTGCATACAGCCACTGATAGGTTATATGCAAGTTATTTGTGCACCACCTGTGCGCAGGTGTGCATTTCTGGCATGAAGTACCCCCACGCCATGGTAGCCATAGGCATGTGTGGTTTGCAAAGTTTGGCCTGCTGAATTGCTAGATTTCTAGTCCATCTTTTTTATATATAACGCAAGGCAGCAAACAGAACTTAATACTCCTACCTCCCCTTTTCATGACAACCCTGTGAGGTGGGTTGGGCTGACTTTCATGACTAAGGCATGAAGAACTCAGATCCCGGATTCTAGATCAGCACCTTAACGAGACCAAAGTGGCTCTCAGCTCAGTTGAGGCCTGTGATGCTAGGCACAAAACGGGCACAAGATGGAAACAGATGACCGGGGAGCAAGGGAGGGGAAGGTGGCATGCAGAAACAGGTTTGTGGGCTCTTGGCAAAACCCAAAGGGCGCTGGCGAGTCTCTTTCATTTGAGAAAATAAGCAGAAGAGCCTAAGGCCTGAACATGAAGGCGATCGGCAGGGTGACATTGAGGCGCTCTTTGTTGTGCGCCAAGACCATCAATGGCCGAGCGGGTGTGGCATAGGCTTTCCTGCAGCCAAGGCCCTGTCAGAATTGCATAAGTCACCGAAGGAAGAGAAGGGCTCAGATCTTATTCTTGTGCAGCTGGGAAGCGCAAAAAGGAGGGATGGAGGTTGCGGAGTCTCGCTTGTCCCCTCGGACCAAAGTGAGCGTCCGTGAATACTGAAGGCAGGGTTGGATAAAGTGGGCAGCAAATGAGGCAGGAGAGAGGGATTCGGAGGAAGGTGGAATAAATACCTGGAGGAAGGGGGTGGCTCTTTTCCCCTAATGGTTGATTATGCCTCCCCCCCACCCCCCCTTGCATCATGCCAGTACAGCGTTTGGGGTCATTACCAATCTTTAAATTCTTCTGGCAGGTTTCCAGAAAGAGCCACTAAGTCAGGCTAAGCAGGCCTGCCTGCAGCTGCCCTAAGTACGGCTGCTCGTTCTCCAGCATCTGCAGAACCCCCCACTCCCTGGCACGGGCCCAGCCTTACCCAAGATGCTGGGATTTGGCCTGGCAGGGGTGGTGGCTCCAATTGGAACTGGCTCCACTCCCAGGAGGAGGGGTCCTTGGCAGAGCCCCCCCCCCCCCCCTCCAGGCTTCTGCTCCTTATTTCAAGTCAGTGGAAAGAGGGCAGAAACCAACCTTCTCGGCAAGGTTCATGCTGGACAACCACGTTGGGGTGTTAAATAAGCTGTCAAGTATCCACCGCCTGCTAAGCTGCTACCCAAGTAGCCAGTTTAGTTTGCGGTTTACAGAGTTTACACAGCTTAGTGCAATGTGTAAATATGGCCCCATTTATGCAGGAACCAGGACTTCTTCCTATACAGACACAGACAGTCCAAGCCACCTCCACAAAGATCCTGGCACCCTCCGTGCAGCCGGCTGTCCTCCCTCCCTATGCAAATGGCTCTCAGTAGCTGGGAGCAGGTGCTCTCTCTCTCTCTCTCTAACTTATTACAAAATTAGGTATTTTATTATTGGCTGTACAAATAAGACGCACTCCTGAATCTGTAGAGGGAGGAGGAGAGGAAAATATCGCCCTTTTTCATAGTCTCAGCAGGAGCCCCGCCTCGTCCCTAGAGAAAGACGGCAGGCAGGAGCCACCGCAAAGAGAGGGAGCAGCCAGCAGCTCCGGAAGGTGCGTTCAGCAGCAGGCACACCTGGCTGTGAGAGAGCCCACCTTGCAAGAAAGCCCAAGGCGGGAAGGACCTTTCCCTCAGAGGCATCAGCGAGGGGCACAGAGCTTCTCCCAAGGAGGCCCTGTGGGGAAAGCAGCAGGGAAGAAGCTGGCCTTGCCTGGCAGGCTGCCCTCCTGCCCACCAGCGCAGCTGGACCCCTGGTGCCCAGGCTCCCTCTTGCTGACCTGCAGGCTAGCGTGGTTTCAGCAAAGTCCGCGGTTGCCAATGAAGGCGGTTGCCATGCTGGCCAGCTAAAGCAACTTATCTGCTGTATAAATAGAGAGTATCTACAAGGCCGTGCGTGCGTGTGTGTATGTGTGTGTGTGTGTGTATATGTAACAGAAGCAGCAGGCAGATGTCCTTGGAAAATGGGTTGGGCTGGATAAGGAAGGTGGGAGCCAGCAGACCCTCCAGGGTTGCATTTCCTCTGCCAGAGAGTCGTGGCTGCCTGGCCTTGAAGGTTGGATGCTGGAGCCGGAGCTGGAGCGGGGGTGGCTGGAGGCATTGAGGGGATGTCTCAGGCACCTCTAGCTGGAGGAGATGTACAGGGACTGGGTTTTGCGGCTCCTGCCCGGCTTGGTGTTGAGAATGTCCATGCTTTTGCGGCTGGAGCTGACAACATCTGTGACGAAGCCAGAGCAGTCGCGGCAAACGTCCTTGAGCACCGACCCATGGGCGTAGATGCAGGGGAACTCTTCCTCCACGCTGCGCCAGCGGGTGCCCTGCAGGGAGCTGGAAGGCAAACACGAGGGGTTCTGGACTGGGGGCCCCAGGGCTAGAGCACCCTCAGCTGACAGGCTTGGCTCGGTTCAAAGGTCTGTGGCTCCAGTATCAGGAAGCCCCCTGGGTAGCCTGCTGAGGGGACAGCCTTAAGCCGTGCTTTAGGATGGCCTGCCTTACTGTTAGGTCTGAATCTTGAAGGAGATCAGGGTTACGCGTCGCACAGTTGTTAAGCTACCATCCCTGGCCCTCTCAATCCTTCAGCGACTTGACGGGGTTTCAAGCGCTACACCCATGAGCCAGGTGGTCGTTCGTGGACTTTGGCTCCCTTCCATCTCTCAAGCCAAATAATCTCTTATCCGTGAGTGGAAAGGAGAACGGGGGCAGATCTTCAGCTGAGGCCACATTAAAACTATCGTTGGTTAGCGTCTTGATATGTCTGGGCAAACGCAAGGATGGTAGTTTGCAGACCTATCTGGCTGGGGTTCAAACCTCAGACTGCAGGGAGTTGAGCCCCTGTGCCTGCAAGCGCCTCCCTTAACCCTGTGCTGGGACTGCAGCCCCCAGAATTCCCCTTCAGTCGACTTGATTGGTTGGAAATTCTGCTAGCTGACCTCTCATCCTGTCCGGAGCAGCAAAAGTCCCAACCTGCCAATCTCGGCTGTGGGACTCCCTTGCTCTGATCTGCACCCCCTAAACAGCGGAGGAGGAAACAGGAAGAAGGCAAAGGACCTACTGGAAAGTCTCCTGCCGGCGGGTTGGGGGGCCCTTGGCACCCAGAGAGCCGTGCAGCGTCTCGAAGCCCAGAGCGTAGACAGGGATGTGCGCAAGCTTCTTCGAGGGCATCTTGATCTAGAAGGGCCAAGCAGGAGGGACTCAGTGGAGGGCTAGGCCGCTCCACCCGGCTCCTTCCCCAGGGGCTTCGCCTCGGAGAGC